TTTTTTTTGTTTGTTTTGTTTTGTTTGTTTGTGCGATTAGGATGGGGTTCGTTCGTTCGTTCGTCCGCGCAAAGCCGGGTCGAATTTTCAGTGACCGAATCTTGGTTCGTTGTTTTCTATTTTTCACTTTTTCTATTTACTAAAATACGATTCTTGGCTGGATTCCCCCCCCCCCCCCCCATTTTCTTATATTTATTAAACCAACGTGGGGAACCCCACGGTATTCCCTAAGGTGATTGGGCGGAGTTAGCTAGTTCTGTGATTGAACCAAATTAAGTTCGACCCGATATGTTTATTTTACATCTAGAACAGCTAAGTCGATATATATTCCCTGTGCTTAAATGAAGAAAAATGAGACCTCACCCTTTTGTATCCTTGATGTAGGCTACATGTATACACCAGGATTAATCAATGATTTCCTATGAATAATGATGTAAGAATCTATACAACATTGTAATACAAGTAGTAGCTTTGCAAAATTAAATGGAATGCAAACGTTGTTATGGCTAATATATATGTTACAGGCATCTTAATCCGAATATCTGGACTCCTTCCTCGCATTGTTTGCGGTAACGGTAACTATAGCAAACATCCAGGACTCTCCCCGTTCTCTTCCTCTATCCATGGGAGCCTTTATACTATCACCTATTCCTCGTCTTTCACAATTTAGAAGAGTAAAGATACTTACTTGATCCAATTATTAAATAGGCTTCAAATTCAGCTACTCTGTATGTACGTGGAAGTAGGAAATACTACTCTTTCTCCATGCTTGGGTCCATTATGTTTATACAGTTTCGTATATATGTATTTAATGTGTGCATATATATGTATGTGGTCAGTTTCTGTGTGTATATATATACATTTTCTTTGTCAGTTTTGAATTAGCATATTTTCCGCAATCTTGATACCAAAATCGTGTGATCAAAGTTTCTTCAAAATTGTCCTGATGCATTTTTCATTTTTCCAAGGCAGGAATTTATAAACGGAAAGTCAAGATGTGAAAAGGACCCACTTTTTGTCAGTTAAGTGCTGAAATGAAACACATAAATAGAGTGATACAAACATATGTTTATACTTCGGTAATGAACAAAACTTAAGTTATCCATCAAGAAATATTCGTTTTCTATGAAATGAAAACGTCCTCTGACGGGAAATTTGCCTATTTATTAAGTTCCAGTCTATATTGTATTAGCGAAACTATCAAACTTTGTAGTACTTCTTATTACGTGTAATTCAACTTAATCTTACATCATTGTTTTTAAAGCTGTCCAATATCATTTTGCTTTACTTATATATAATAGAGACTATAATCGTAATATCTACATTATAGTATTTTTAACAGAAACATCACAATCATAAACCCTAGTTTGAAGTATTATAAACACCTACTATAAAATCTGATATGCAGATATAAGTGTCCCAGCAAGGATATTTAAAAAATAACACGATTAACATTCGCCGTATATTATATTTTTAAGTTGCTTAATATGCGGGAAAGGCCCGGCACAGTGCTCTCTCGATTGCCTTATTCATCGTGCATGAAGCATAGAAGCGTCCTCGCGACTCACTGCCGGTGGTCATGGTAACGTCTTCGATGTACACGTGCATGTTCATGCCGTGCGGATGGCCTTCTCGCCACATGTTGGAGAAGAGGGACACTGGCACTCCGTCCAGGTTGGCCCACTGCCCAGTCTCACGGGAGAAGCCCACCCACATGTAACCGTAGGGCCTGTAGTCCGCTCCTGTTGAGAACGCATCAAGGAGTTTATAAGATATGTTGATTAGGAACACTTGTTTTAACTACAGTAAAAAAAAATGCTGTGACGACCCATTATCCGATGTACAAAACATTACCATTACCACCCACCAATATGATCCTGAAATCGAGGCGTTTCATTCACGTACCGACAGTGTCCCAAGCCTCAGCGAAGGCCTCGAGCTGTGAGGTCGTGTCCAAGGAAGCCAAGTCCACACTCCACCCATTGCCGCTCAGCCCATTGCACATTTCTCTGGCGTCATCCCACGAGATCGATGTTCCCTCGGAGTCTAGGACATAGAAGCATCCTCCTTCCGCCTCGAAGAAGCTGTCGGGGCACTGGGCACCTGCGGGCGGACGAGAAAGCCGGTCAAAGAACAGGATTTGTGACTTTAAGTACTCAGCCGTAGGTCGGAGTTTGTACCTTATTAAACACAAGCTTGTCGAGTTGATAAAGCTGAGGGCACTCTCGTTCCGATATGAAAATTATTAAGTATTGCGAAACCAGATATACATTTATATGTACATAGACATATATATACATATATATGTACAGTACATATACATATATATACATATATATATATATACTCACATATATATATATATATATATATATATATATATATATATATATATACATATATATATATATATATATATATATATATATATATATATATATGTATATATGTAGAAAAGGTATGAATGAGAATGAATATTTTCACAATACAAGAGATGTAT